CCTGCATTCTTTTCTCCGGAAGCTAGTGGAGGATGTGTTCCCATCCTAAAGAGGGACCACACTGAGCAAAGAAGTCATGGGATCCAGGAAACAGGTGTGGTACATGAGGATTCTACTGCTTGTTTGAGAGACAAAGAAGATCAAGGTGGTTAAGCACCCCCCAGCAGGGGGCTGGGGACGGGGAGGTGAGCCCACCTAGAGCTGCCGACAGAGCCCTCCCCACCCCCACCCCAATGGGAGAAAGGGAAGGAGGGGCTGGCAAAACCGGGCGTAGAGTTCAGCTTTGTTGCCCCCGGCTGCAAAGCCTTGTGTTGGCTGAGTTTCACTCTGCAGCCCTCAGTTCCCTGTTGTATAAAAGGCAACACTGGCACCTGCGTGCTGTCTTTCTCAGGATCAGATAAGAATATACTGAAAAGTGGATCAGAATGTGCTGAGTCTGGGGTCAGTGATGCGTGGCATCCCTGTGCTTACCCAGAGGCCTGAGACGCCTCTCCATCAGAGCCCAGTGCTACCCAGAACTCCGCTCCCCTTTTCCCATTCCTTGGTCAACATGAGTTGGTGGCCTGGCACCAATGTCCAAGAGGTGATGTGACATAAAAGAGGCACCTCCTGGGGAGTCAGATGACCTGGATTCCAGCCTTGACCATGCCAGGCTAACCACGTGGCCTTGAGCCTGCCACTCGACCTTGCTGGAACAGTTTCCTCCTGTGGTACATGAGGATTCTACTGCTTGTTTGAGAGACAAAGAAGATCAAGGTGGTTAAGCACCCCCCAGCCCCAAAAGACTTGGACAAATTGCAAAACCCATAAAAGTGTAAGTACACTATTGGCCGGGTACAGGAGCTCACATCTGTAATCCTAGCACTTTGAGAGGCTAAGCCAGGAGGACTGCTTGAGGCCAGGAGTTTGAGAGCAGCCTGGGCAACATAGCAAGACCCTGTTTCTAAAAAAAAAGAAAAAAAAAAAAAAAACGTACCTGGCTGTGGTGGCACACACCTGTATTCCCAGCTACTGAGGAGGCTGAGGTGGAGGGCGCCCTTGTGCCTAGGAGTTTGAGACTGCAGCGAGTTATGATTGGGCCACAGAGGGATACCCTGTCTCTAAAAAATAATAATGAAAAAGAAACAAAAAATAGAATTTGGAAGAAACTGAGACATTGCAGAAAGTTTCAAAGAAATTATAATTTGTATTGGCCAGGTGTGGTGGCTCACTCCTGTAATCCCAGCAGTTTGGGAGGCCAAGGTGGGCGGATCACCTGAGGTCAGGAGTGCAAGACCAGCCTGGCCAACATGGTGAAACCCTGTGTCTACAAAAATACAAAAAATAGCCAGGCATGATGGCGGGTGCCTGTAATCCCAGCTACTCAGGAGACTTAGGCAGGGGAATAGCTTGAAGCCAGGAGGTGGAGGTTGCAGTGAGCCGAGATTGCACCATTGCACTCCAGCCTGGGCAACAGAGCGAAACTCTGTCTCAAAAAAA